AAAAAGGCAGCGGAGAAGCCTACACTCAGGATAACATGCAAGGACAAAGAGCCCAGCCTCCTGCTCTTTTAAAAGCTGCTGCTCCTCCTAAATCGCAATAAAATCATAAACGCCTTCTTTCTCCAGGGAAGAAAACTCAGGTCGATACCTATAAGAATGCCCACATTTGGCAGGGCACCTTGTCAGCTCGGCCAGATCGTGGTTGGTTAATTTAAATTCCTATTTTGGGGGACACCGATCCTGCCAAGCAGGCTGAGCTGAGGAAGAGCAAGTGGCCCAGAGGGCCCCCGGGAGTTTGGCTGACAAGCCGCGAGAGCTCCTTTCTAAATCTTCCGTCTCCGGGCCCCAATCTTCACCCCTCAGCATCCGAGGCCAAAGCTGAAAGCAGCTTGCTGTCCGCAGAAGCAGAAGCCCTGGGCTAGGATTCCGGGAATAGGCGTCCCCCGATATTCCCAACTCCGTAGCGGCAGGAGGGGAACAACCCCGGGAGAAGCCCCATTCGTGGTCCAGTCCAGCCCAAACACGAGCAGCCAGGAAAGGAAACAAGCAACGATGGATTTTTCTTTTCTCTTTTCAAAATAAAAAAACATGCTTCCTACACAACTAACTGCCTCTGGCCGTTTCCACCTCCTGCATGGCGCTCCAGGCACGGCTCCTGCAGCAGCGGGGCATCCATTCCATCCGCCGAGCCGATTCCAGGAGGCTGGCATACCTACCCTCTGCCAACCGCGGTGTTTTTTTCCCTGTTGAGCAGCAGCTTTGGGGGGAACAGTTATTTGAAATCAAAGAACCCCGCAGGGGGGAAAGAAGAAGACCCCAGGCGGATACCAAGTGGGCCAGTGACTTTATTGGTACACGGAAAATAAGAAGCGAATTATCATTTGGGGAAACGTGAACGAGCCAATCCATGCAAAGGGAGCTTACAAACAGGAAAACGCTTAAGAGATATCATAAAGGGGGTGGGCGGGGGTGCCTCTACAGGAATTTGAAAGAAGCAATGGGGGGGCTGCGCAAAAAAGCCCGAATCAGCATCTCGGCCCCCAGAAAGAAAAAAAAAATGCTTCTGGAACACGCGACTCTCGGTCCAGGCATCTAAGATCTTCTTGGGTATTTTAGCAGTCTATAATGGCCCAACAGGCTGTGCTTATGGGGCGGCGTGCTTGGTTTAAGCTTGGGAAACGTGGGTGTTAAGAGGGATAAGCATCCAGGGCTTGTGGCGGAAGACCATTTTTCATCACCCTAACTCGGCTCCTTGGAGCGAACAGGGTGCTCTGCCTTCAAAGGCCGGCCTTGCCACCCTTAGCCCGCAGCCACGCAAGAAGTGGGTTAAAATAAAAAGAAAAAAACGGGGGGGGGGCGGTTTCTCAATCACACAGATCCTGCAGAGTTAACTTCAGCTCCTTATCGAGCAGACGGCTTTTCTCAAGCTGGCTGGATAGACGCTCTGCGGCCGGTGGCCCGAAGGAAGGAGGCGGCAGATTAGGGGTGGAGGGGGGAAGAGAATGAGAAGAGAGGAAGGGGGGAAAGAAAAAAAGAAAAAGGGGTTAGTTAGCCCCAAGGAAAAGCCCCCCACCGCCTTGATGCCACATGCTACCCCTGCCGACAAATCAGGACTCGCTTTTCGGCGTGAAGACCAGGAAAAAAATCCGAAAGGGACGGAGGGAGCGGTTTCATAGATAAGGTCAAGTGGAAATGCAGAAGTGGCACCTGTTGGCAAGATTTAGCCCGGGCAGCCTGCCAGCTGAGGAACAAAGAGAGCTTCCAGCAGGAGACACCCTGCCCGGAAGCCATGCAGGCTTGCTTGGGAGCCCACAAGCCAATTTGGGGCCCACAAGCCAAGGACTTGAGGGGTGGGTGATGGTCCCAAGCCACGAAGAAGCAGGCTATCGGTGGGCCAGGGAAGACAGGCCACGCACTCCAGAACCCTGTAGGGTTTTAGGCTTCACCCGCTGGTCCTTCCAACCCACTGAGCCGCAAAGAAATTCTCCAGAGTGAAAAACTGAGATTTGCTCTGCAACGGGGGCTCCCTGGAACGTAGCAACCAACCCCGATGCTTTGGGCCCTGGGAAATGCCCCTTCCTTGCTGCGTTTCCGAACGACCGAGCAGAAGACAGCAGCAAGACTCACACTATCGCTCCTCATGGCATGCTGCTTTTCTCGTATCCAAACGTCGGCATCTTAGCCCAACCGCTGAAGATTTAAGCTCTTCCTGGAGGGGCCCGGCCTGAGCGTGGGGTTTTCCAAAAGCCGAGGGCAGCCCTTCCCACGAAAGGGCTGCAAACAGGACCTGAAGACCACCCTTGGCAATGGCTTCGTCCTACGAGGGTATGAACAACGTCCTACCAGCCAGGAAGGGGCACCAAGGCTATGCTAGGAAGGACCTTCCCAGGCTTCAGTTCCTCCTTTTTGCAAAGGAGATGCTGGGAACCAGTCCGTGGGGTGTGTGTGGGGGTGGCTGGGAAAAGGAAGTGCTTATCTGAAGCCCTGGAGAACTGCCATCACGCCAGGCATGCCACGGCCAAGGGCTTCCAACTCTCCTTTCTGAACGTGGCTCTGGTGGTGATGTTCCATCACTAAGCTTCAAGTACCCACCTTTAGTTGGGGGGGGGAATCCCAGGGGTAAACAGAGCCCCAGCTGGGAAAGGGGGGCAGGAAAAAGTACAATACCCTAAGTGACCAAGACATTCATACCATTGCCATGATGCCCAGAAAAGAAAGATTCACAGTTGATGCAACAGCAGCGTGGATCTGTGCCAGAGGAGGAGCGAATATCTGTTTTTAACCTGCTCCTGAGGATTAGCAGGAAAGGAAGGGAGGGCAGGAGGAGCGTGAGAAGGAACTGAGAAACCGAGAAGGTCCTTGCTTCTGGTCCCATTTGCACAAGACAGAAGCAGAGGATCCCTTAGAAACCTGCACAAGAGGCCCCAGTTACAGCCAGAGCAAATGGACTCCCAAACGTTCCCCAAAGGTGTCAAGAAAGGAACTCTACCCTCATCTGTGTCCTCCCCGTCATTCTAAATTAAAGAAATAAAGAAAAGATGCAGTAAAGGGAGCGAGTGGGGGGATAGAAAGGGAGTTATGAGTCTGCGTTCACACTCTGGACGCGTTTCGTGCTCCCACCTTGAGAGCCGAACCTCTTATCGGCTTATTCGGGCGAGGCAGCGGCAACTTCTCAAATTCACAATCTTGTCAGGTCCACTCCGCTTTTCAAACTACCGGACCCCCGGCTCTCCCCCCTATCTTACAATCCCATGCTTCAGCACACGACAAGCCAAGCGGGTCAGTTTCCCGAAAAACAGCTGGTCCGGAAACACCGCACGCCGGGCTTCCTTTTCTGAAACCCAACCAGCCCTGTTGGAAATACAACCCCCCCCCCAACATCTGCAGGGAGCATCAGGCCAGGATACTCAGGGCTGCAGATCCTCCAAAAGACCAGCCTTTTTTTTTTTTTTTTAAATTGAGCAGGCGTGTGTAGAGCTGGTTTAATGCACGGGATGGACAAACAATCTAACGGGGCCTCTTGGCTCTCGGCTCCAGGAGTCGTGGCTAGGAGGGCCTTTGCATGGTTTCCTCTTGCGGCAAGATGGGGAGGCTGAATTCACTGCCCCTCGCCTTTCCCCTCCGTGAATTTCACTGGATTCCTGTGGACTTCCAAAGGCCATTCAAGGCTCTGACTGTCTCTTACAAAGTCTTGATGGTGTAGGGCTGGAGAATTCGCAAGAACACCTGTCTCCTTTATGACTGCGTGCCCCACAAGGCCTGCAGGAAGGGCACATGCCAGCTCCCCTTCCTCTAGCAATGTCATCGAATGGGACCCGGGAAGGGGGCCTTCCGGGAAGGGGGCCTTCCGGGAAGGGGGCCTTCCGGGAAGGGGGCCTTCTGTGTCAGGTCACCCGTCCCACAGAACAGCAGATCCCCCGAAATTTGGACAACCCTGATCTTGCTGGCCTCCTCAAAGGCATTAAAGCCCCCGTCCTTCCTTCTGAACTTTGCTCTTGAGCCCGTTGAATACAGCGATAGTTTATTGCTTTTACTCCAGGCGTGTAATGTTCCCTTTTTTTTTGCTTTTAACACCAATGGTGGTTTTTATTGATCGATAGCATCCATCTAAAATATATAACCCACGAGCCCAACTGGCAGCTTGGGGGTAGGGAATCGAGACTCCATTTAATTCACACCTTTGAAATGATTTTGCCTTTCTCCTCTCCCAAAAATGCAGGCAAAAAATGCATGGCGGTTTCTGAAATTCGGGGAGGTTTAGCTGCTCAGGGAAGAGAGGGGAGTGTTGCAAAAGTGAATAAACCCAGAGCAACGCTCCCCACCATTATAGGGAGGGCAGGGCTGAGATTTTTGCAAGCAAGGAAAGAAACGATACAGAGACCAACACAAGTGCATTTTGCCTATATTCCATTCCACCGACAGTTTTACAAATCAGCGATGGGGAAACCACCTTGTGTTGCAGGTACTACACAGCAGCGCTTCCGAGCCGCGCCCCAATCCCACGTCGGCTCTCTGCGGAGAAGAAAACCCGGCCCCCTCCCAAAGCTGCCCCAGCAAAGTCCGCTAACGCCAAAGATCACAAAGGCGGCCGTTTCGGAGAGGATCCCACCGCGTGCGAGGCCAGACGGCCGCCCCCACCGGACGGAGGACGCTCGTGCAAACGGAGGACCCTTCTCGCCCTGGCGTGAGATGCATGTGAGATTTTTTTGGGGGGGGGGAGAGAAGAGGCAGGACTTCAGAAGGAAGAGGAGAGACAGACGAGGCCAGGGTGAAATAAAAAAAAAGGGGGCCCTCAAAAGCTGCAGGCAGAGCCGCTAAGTGGAGCTTTGGAATCACAAGTTTTATCTGTGTGCAAGAAAGAGAGAGAATGTTTAGGTTTTCAGGAAAGGGGGGGGGTTGATGCAGCAAGCAGAAAAACAGAGCAGGACGAGATGATAACGGAGGGTGCAGTTAGGAGAAGCAAAGGGTTAAGGAGTAAGCCCAGTTCACACAACCGTGCCAACACCCATTGCAAACCGCAATGCCAAAGAGTTTTGAGAAGGGTTAGACTCCAGCAATTCACAAGCAGTTCACACAAGGCCCTTCGCCAAGAATGGACCTGGAACACCCCAGCACCACACCTCAGTCAAATCTACAACACACACACACACACCCTGTCGGGGATGCCAAGAGCTCAGGAAGCACGAGAAGAGGACCCAACCTGTCCTGACCATCTATCTCCCTTCCCCATCCTGGGATCCTCCCGAACGCATTTCCTACCCCCATCAGCAACTTCTCTCCAAGCAATGAAGGAACTCCAAGTCAAAAAAGATACTCCAGTGCTGGCAATCTAATATGGCCATTGGAGTCTGTGTTTTGAGGGTGCAGTTCATTTTTGGCAAGAGGAAAGGTGTCATCTGCTCAGGAATTCAAAGGTGCAAGTCACGGGCCGCTGAAGGGCCATGACAGGGGCTCCTGCTGACCAGTTACTGTCCAGCTGTCGGCTGAAAATAGTAACCCAACATTTCTAGAGGTCCACCAAGCTGGGAAAAGCTGATCATCTGGTGCCAGTGACATCACCTGGAGTGTTCGTGGTCCACCTTCATCCTGGCTTCTAACAGACCAGGATGGGAAACCCTCTGGGGTTGGCTTTCCTCCTGAAGTTCTCCACACCTTCTGGGTCTGCCTTTCATGGCTAGAGCATGTTACAAACCAGGCCAGGTTTACTCCTAAGTTCAGCTTAATTTTTGTTCTGCGGCTCTTGGACATTTCCAGCCTTTGGCAAAAGAAACTCTTCTTGCGAGAAAAGGCGAGTAAAGTTACGCCGTTCACTGAGTGGCTATGTTTCTTTCTGCCCCAACCCTTGCCCCGGGGAAATTGTTCATTTTATTCAGAAGGGGGCTTGCGCATATTAATTTCTCCCATTCCTGGGATGGGGGCGTTGCAAAATTTGAGACCCCCTGGGCTCCATCACTGGAATTTAATCCCTGGTCTGGGAGGAACACACAACCTGGTAAAGCCGAACAATAACATGAGTGAAAGCGTGTCATGAGAATGAGACCCCCGTCCCAATCCTCTTTGAGCACCCTCTGTGGCTGGTTGGCAGGATCAAGCTTCAAACAGCAGCAGCACAGAGCTGGTGAGAAATCCACACGCGTGTGTTTTTTAATAAGAGGCCGACGTTTCCCCCAAAGCTGGGACTAAAGGTTGAAGGACAGTGAAGCACCCACAGACAGATGCATTTTGTGACAAGAGGAATAATTTGGGGAAAGTGCGTCCCGGGGATCTGTCTCCACGTGCCTTGGAATCGTGCAAGGGAGAGCAAGCTGTGGCAACAGCGTGGGTCACTCAAGCTGCCCTGAGCATTGCTTAACCCAACCCCTGCGTAGCTTCAGCGTTGCTCTGGCCGCCTCCCCCCTCCCCAGCGCACACAGCACGCCCAACAGAAGGCCAACACACAAGCCCCCCCCCAGCTCACTCCAAACGTCGATATTTACATGGAAGTCATATCATTGAGAGCATGGTCCAGTTCCTCACTAATGGCTTTGTACTTCAGTTTCTGAGAGTAGAGCTCATCTAAAAAAATGGGGGGAGGACGTCACAAGAGAGAGTAGAAGGGGGGGTTCCAGCATCGGGAGGCCAAAGTCAAGCAGGGTTGGTTCTACTCGATGCAAGCTAGAGGGGTAACCACGACCCAACCCCAAGCTTCAAGTCCATTTGAAGGGAGATACCTTTACAGGGCAGGCTGCAGATAAAAATCACACATTTTCTGCCCCCGGCCCCCCCGCAAGGGATACCCAGCCACTTTTTCAAGGTGGTGGTAGGGTATCCAAGTGTGCTTGGTTAAGAAAACCTCACATTATGCAGCTTTGAAACGACTCCCAAGCTGAAGGCAAGAAGAATGCAGACACTTAGGCTAAATTCCCCTCCAGCTCAACCATTCTATGACTATTCTTGATTACAGACTTCAGCAGATTATCTTTTTGCCCCAAAGTGTGTAGAAGGAAGAAGAGCATGAAAGAAACACTGGGGATCCCACTACAATTCCTAGGATTTGAGAAGAGAGGGGAAAAAAAACCCTTCATAGATTGGTTTAAAGCACAGTGCTTCGGCCCCCTTGAAGACTCCAGTGGAAAGCGGGCTTTAAAAATTCTACTTTATCTCAATGAAATTAAAGAGAAAATATCTACGTGGGTCCCACCCGTGGTACAGAAGGAAAAGGTGAGAACTCAGACCAAGCCTTGGCCTAGGTTATTTTGTGCTGGCGACACAGAATGAAATGTTTTCAGATTCCGCACCGCACCACTGATGAGGACGTAACTTCATTTGAATATGTAGGGAAACAATGCCGCTCTGTGTGGGCCCAGAATGGCTGGAGAAACGGCTTCAGGCTCAGAGATGAACCATTTACCCTCTCCTGACTATTTTACATTTTAAAATGTAGAAGCCCCAAAGACCTAGAGCCAAATCAGACCCAAGGACCTGCAATTTGCAAAATACGACAAGGGCAGAACATTTGCATTAAGAGTTAGCTATCACCCTAATGCATCAAGGGACGGTTGACACGAAATCTCTGAGAGAAACAAAGAGATAAACTGTGCGCTAAAGTAAATATATCCAGTTACTGACACTTCTGGAACCGAATCTCTTTTCCCTTTCAACAAATCTGGTTAAAGACGACTCTGTAGAATTTTGCTGTTTGGCTGTAAGCGGCTGGCTGTTTTGAGCGTCCTCCGTATTTAGCATCTAGGTCCAACCAGAGAGCTCACATAAACTTCTGCTTGTGCATTTGTGCACGATGGTTGCAGATCAGAAGTGGGAAACCCACTGTCCTTCCAGCAGCCCACAGCACCCCAGTGATGCATACCGAGAGTTGAGGTTTGGGAAGACCTGGAGAACCACCCATTCCTCATTCTCGTTCTAAATTCTGATGGTAACATATCGCTTTCACGAAGCATGTCATATTGCTTTTCAGGTGAAACTTACCTTCCAAGTCATCAACGGTCTTCTCCAGTTTGGCTACCGATCTCTCGGCAAACTCAGCACGGGTCTCTGCCTGTGGGAGGCAGGAGAAAACTAGTCAATTGTGGAAGGAGACCAAGCAGCTATTAAGGTTCCTGACTGAGTGACAGGATGGTTTTAAGCCAGGGCAGGCAGAAAAGTCGTGAAGCGATCCAAGCATCTGAAAGATGGCCCACTCCCCCCAAAACAGCAGGCGGCTAAATCGGAGGCCAAAAGAAAACTGGAAGTGAATTATGCAAGAGATGTACCCGTCGGCTCTTTGATTCCAACTTAGCACAAAAGGTAAGCTGGTCATTAAGCTGGTTCTGTTTAGGTTTCCCTTCCAGACTCAAATGTGTTTCTCACACTCATGATTAAGATTTTCTGATACACCCAGCCTCACACGCCACTCACCTCTTTGAGTTTGTCAGTCAAAATCTTGATCTCCTCTTCATATTTATCCTCTTTTTGAGAGTACTGGAGGGGGGGAAAAGACACACTCAAGATCCAACTGTAACAGGGTGCACATCACTAGCACAACATCCCTCAGTGGCAGCTCCCTGGCTGGGGAAGAGCCCCCCCCCCCAAATAATTTCTTTGGGGTTTATTCTATGCCTTTCAACAGTTTGACTCAGACAATATGCTCTTTGGGGTCATTACACCTTGGCTTAGCCTGTCGTGTGAATCCAGCCACGGGGAATCAGCAACCCTAATTTACAAACGCACCCATTTGATACAAACCAGCCCATCAGCTTCATTTGACCCGTGAAGCTAGCTGAATTTCTAGTTCCCCCCCCCAAGCTTCTTAGTGGACTTTCCATTTTTATCCAAGGGGCCACAGGAATTTTTGCGGGCTGCCTTGTTTCAAGAAAGATGACCCCCAGCATCCCTCCCAGATCTCCTTCCTGGCCGGATCAGCCACGATGGGAAGAAGCAGAACAGAAAGGTTTTTATAATCCTCATGTTTCTCTCCCTGGGGGGATACAAGCTGAGATGAGAAAGAGATCCCGCCCTGGACTGACCCAAACTCTTCCAGCTTAACCACAATGGCTGTCTTTAAAGTACAAATCAGGGGTGGGTCACCTTTGCCTACATATGGCAACACCGAATCTCAGTAAAGGAATCTTGATGACAGAATTGGGGAAAAGGGAAAGATGCAACGACTGGACATGGCCAGTTGTCAGCTACTGTTAACTCCTTTAACATGTCCTAAAGTACTTTCAAAAGATAGACGCTTAGCAATTTGACAGCTGTGGAAAGCTAGAATTACGATACCCAAGATATAGCTAACAGAGTTGACCAACAACCGACCCCCCAAGAGGGCCACACGCACTTGGTTTTCTCAGCAGAACAAGAAACCAGGTGCCCCAAAGGCCATTGATGATTTTATTTCTTAACAACAACAACAAAAAGATTTGATTTCTCAGTGGGGAGAGAACCACCCTACCTTCTCCGCCTGAGCCTCAAGCGACTTGAGGTTGTTGGTAACGTTCTTCAACTCTTCCTCCAACTCTGAACATTTACTGCGTGTGTTGGCAAGGCAGAAAAGAAAGGAAGGATAGGAAAAAAAAGAAGGGGAAAGGTGGGGAGGAAGGACAGACAGGAGAGAGGAAGAAAGAAAAGAGAGTGAATCTGTGGACTGGGGAAGTGGCTGAGGTTTTGAGAGATCCCCCGGGCCATCGGCACCCGGTTGTAATTACTCGGGGTCAACGCAGCATATAAAACGTGATCACCTGCTACTTCTTGGAGTTTTCTTTTAAGAAAGAAAATAGCCCAGGGATATTTTAACCAACGATTTACAGTAGATGTGGGGGTTTTCCCCCATCCTCCCTAAGTTGCCAGCTGCCAGGAAAGTAAATACTTGCTCAGATTGTTTCCCAGAGTTTCTGACACTGGACAGACACCCCTGCATGGCTTCTCCCCGAAATCTTGAAGGAGAAGACAAAATGCAATATTCCCCCTACCCCCCATCTCTCTGACACTTTAGCCTGATCGTTTCAGCCCCAAGTGGAAGCTTTTAATGTTTCTTTGCAGGCCTTTAAAACTTAAAGCACACTGTTCCGCTTTGCAGAACCGGTTACGGTACGAAGTCTGCGAGGCTTTCTTTCTAAATTCACCCTTCCTGGATGCAGCTATGGGTGAAAGGATCACATTTAAGCCAATCAAATGTTATTGGAAAGGTAGGCGCTAAAGGGCAGAATTCAACACGCATTTGTTGAACTGTACAAATTTCCTCGAGAGTAAGGCGTGCTCCACTCAGCCAGGACCGCTTCTTTATTTTAAAAGATGAGCTTTTTTCTCAAGCGATCACAAGGCCAAGCACCCAAGCGTTCGACTGAGCGCATATGGGGCGCCGAAGAAAAGCAAAAAATACTTAGAAAACGTGGAAAAAGGCATCCATGAAACTCTGCAAGGGCCTTTGTTACTAACTTAGACAAGGTGGATCGCCCCTCCCAGCCATTGGCAGACATTGATCTGTTTCTTGGATGGGCTTGTATCAAACATCCTTAAGATACAGGGCCTCTGTTTCCTCGTGAATCTAGTTCTATGTTATGCAAGTCTCCTCCTTAGCTCGCTGCAGCCAAGGGTTAACAAGCAGCCCTGTACAAGAGAAGCCCCCCGCTGCTCCCCAACTGCACTGGGACTTCATCTCCCAGAATTCCGTGTTGTCCAGGAGAAGACCCTCATCAGCAGGCCCCTCCTATTCAACTCTGGGCTTCAGCTGGCTGGCTGAAGAACTGAGATTGGAGGAGGCATCAGAAATGATCCTGGGAGGCTAAGACTGGACCTACTGGGGGCAAGGGAGTGATACCCCGCTGTGCAGACAGACAGTAGATTTTCCATTCCTTCCTGGTTCTTCTCCCCCTCTTTGTTCTTCTTTTCATTCTAAATTAGGCCTTCCTGCTTGGAGCAGTGGAAAACCATACTGTCGGCTTTCAGCAGCTGTGGCCAGAGCAGGGACTTCAGGATGACAACTTTAGGGCAGCCAAAGGCCCAAGGATTTACTAAACGGGGGCAGTAGCACACAAAGGCCCAGGCACACAGCCTACAAGCTGCCATGATGGCCCCGAGGTGGGATGTGCCCAATAGTGCCAACACTGGCTTCAATGTGGAATTTGGTAGGAGCTGCCTGGCTAAAAACAGCCTCGGCAACTGTCTGCTCAACAGAAAGCAGAAACAAAAAAAAAAGGGGGGGAGTGGATTGGAGATAGCAAGATTAGGGCAAGCAGAGCATGTAAAGCATCTAAGGCAGCAAGAAGAGGAGGCGGAAGAGGAGGAGAGATGTGCATGAAGGAGCAGGGTCAGGGGAGAATGAAAATTAAGAGCTTTAGCGCTCAAGGAAGGGGGAAGAGATTAGTACCTTTTCTTCAGCCTGAGAAAGGAACTTCAAGTTTTGATCCATCAACCGGTTCTGCTCATTCAGTTCCCGTAAACGGCTGGTTAGGGACGGCCAGGTGGAGAGGCACGGGTCGAAGGGGAGAGGGAAGCGGCAGCAACAACAATGGAAAAGATACAAAGCGCAGCCGTAAAAGGGGCGGGGGGAGAGAAACAGGAAGAAACAAAAGAAAAATAAAAGTTGGTCACAATGCATGCTTGGCGGGCAGGGGCCGAGTGGGCCATTCTGCAGGGTGCATGCCATGGGGCGGGTTGGGGGTGGAGGAGGGACGCATTACACGAGGCCAAGAAGCACAGTGGTGAAAAGCGTGAACTGCAACTTTCCTTGTGGAGGGTTGCTCAACACAGCCTGTGAAGCCGCCCCCGTTGTCCCCAACTACCCAGACATGCAACCAGACTGCTCTATCAAACCAGGATGTGCAGGAAGTGGTGCAGTGGGGGGAATTTTAACAGCTGGTGGCCAGGTGCTCAGGGGAAGGAGAGGACCACCAGCTTGGGAAAGACCAACTCTTTCTTCTTCGGCCACCTGAAAGAGGGCTGCAAGGGATTTTCGAGGGATTTTTCGAAGGATTCAGAAGGGGTTATGGGGCTGCTAAGCTTCATGGCCCCCGTTTGCTTCATCAGGCCGCACCATTCGCAGCTCCCCAATGTTGCAAATGAACTTAGACAGATGGGGCTTAGTTCTGAGGGGTTTTTTGGTGGTGGCGGGATTAAAATCTGCTTTAGAAGTTGAGTTTTGATTCTGATTTCTTTTTTTTTAAGATGGGATGGACACAGGCCTGGCTCTCAACCTAACTAGCCAAGGGCTTAGAAGTTTCCCCCCTGCACAGAGAGGCAGGCCACCAAGAGCAGTGTTGTTAATCTGTTGTTTTTTGGGTCTTTTTTTTTTTTTTTTAAAGGGATGTGGGGGGAAAAGCAGGGGGACTGACATTTGACCTTAATGCTTTGGCTGTCCTTTTTCTTGAGCCTCAAGCAGCCCCAGGAGACACAGCGGATTTTATTCCACCCTTAAGAAGTCCTGTGAGGAGAGCTTAAGAGGCTCTGAGAAAGGTTTCTCCGGCCCACCCAGATGTGGAAGCGACTGCCTGATGCTTCTGAAGGCGTCTGGCTCCCTCCCCCGCCACACTTTGGCACATCGGTATCCCAGATGGGCGGCAGACCCCGTCTGAAGCTTGGAAGGCCTTGACAGGACGGTCTGCGCGAGATCCCCAAGAGAGGAGCCATCCCAACAGCAGTGGGAATGACCTCAGTGGTCAAGGGAGACCCCCTGCTAAAACCAAGACTGAGCCCCCCCTTGCAGGGAACCAAGTACCTGCAGGACCTCGTAGAAGGACCTCACTAGCTGGGACTCTGACCAGGAAGAGTCTGCCTAAATTTTGCTCAATTCCTGCTTTTCATTCCGTTTTGGGTTTGTGGTCTTTGAGCAGGGGCGTCTCTCGGCATCCGCCTGTCAGCCTCACCTTGTCCCTCCAAGAAAGGGCGAGAGAACAGGAAGGGCTTCCAAGGTCCTTCCAGCAGGAGCAACCTCCAGCCCTCTCCCCCAGCTTCAGGCCTCGTCTAACCGGGAAGCAGAGAGCCAAGCCGCTGGTGTTAGCGTGCATGCGGGGCACGGGCAAAGGGGTGTGTGCCATGCTAAAGAAGAAGTGAAGCTGGAAAGGGTCCAACACTCACGATTCAGCCAGTTCGGCTCTTTCCTCTGTACGCTCCAGGTCTCCTTCGATGATCACCAATTTACGAGCAACCTGAGGAGGAGCACAAGGGGGTTACTGAAACAGAGTGGCACAGAAGAGAAGATGGTACATTCAAGCTTGGGAGCAGCACAAAGAGCCTTGGGAGAGTTGGAAAAGGCTCTGCCAATCCAGAAGGGAGAAAACATAAAGACCCTTCAGGGGCCATCACTCAGAAACACAGCAGGGAACCCTCTGCGTGTTCCACTACAGGTAGGCCTCAACTTACAACCGCATATGGGACCAGAACATCCACTGCTAAGCAATGCAGTCATTAAGTGAGTCACGCCCAATTTTACAAACTTTTTGATTGGTCGTTAAGCAAATCACGCAGTTAAGTGAATCTGGCTTCCCCCATTGACTTTGCTTGTCGGAAGCCGGCTGGGAAGGTCACAAATGGCAATCATGCAATCGCAGGACGCTGCAACCACCGTAAATTTTATTTATTAAATTTGTATGCTGCCCATCTCCCCCAGCGGGTGACTCTGCTAAAACCAAGAATTCATGTCAGTTGCTGAGTGCCTGAATTTTGATCATGTGACCACAGGATGTTGTGATGGTTGTAAGTGCAAGGATTGGTAAGTCACTTTTTCAGCACCGTTGTAACTTCGAACAGTCATTAAATGAATGGTCGTAAGTCAAGGACTACCTGTAAAAGCATATCACCCTAGACCACCCCCTCTCTGGGTGAAAGTCAAGCTACCAAGTCTGAGAGATCTGGAGCCCGTGGGCTTGACTGTATATATCTACTCTAGGATTTCAGATGGAGCCCTGCCTGGCGATACAGAAGTTACCCCAAGGCACCATTAACTCACAAAACCAGAGGCACCTCCCTCTGAACTGCAGCCTGTCCCTTAAAACTAAAGACCCTAGTCCTCATGATGCTGAAGAAAGGCTATACTGAAGAGGAGCTCCCTTAGTGTCGGAACGTTGCTCCGCATAGCTCAGCTTTATCCAGAGAAACCACAGGGTTAGGGCAAAACCCTCTACCTGAGATTGAAGCAGAACATTTCTATATGCAAAGGAAGTACTCTGCCACAACTCCCCCCTCCTCCCCACCAAAAAATTCCAGATTATCCAGGGAAGCTGCAAAGGAACTGGAAGTTGTTAGCACTCAGGGCCACCCACCTCCTCGTATTTCCGGTCGGCTTCCTCGGCAATATGCTTGGCCTCTTTCAGCTGGATCTCCTGCAGCTCCATCTTCTCTTCATCTTTCAGGGCTCTGTTTTCAATGACTTTCATGCCCCTGCCAGGAATAAAGAGACAGGACAGCGTTTGTCTACCCGAACCACAGCTAACTCCCCAAAGCAAGAGGTAGCGCTGGGATGCTGGAGGTAACTGGACAAAGCTGGGTGGTTGTCATCATTATTTATTCCATTTACACAGCCGCCCCTCTCGCATACACGAGCTATTCTAGAGGAGTTTGGGGGTGAACTGGGCCACTGTCAGGGTCCCTTAATTTTAAGGGACTGGGAATCCCACTTGAATCTACCGTGAACATTTTACTGCTGCGCTTGATCATTGCCGCAAACAGCCAAGAATAGCCAGATGTGGGGCTGTCCTCGTTTTCCTTTCGAACGGCTCCGATTCTTATTTTTAAGGCTTACTGCGGCTGCTTTCAAGTTTTCACATCTGGGATACTGTAGGTGTAATACAGTGTTGTCCAAACTTGGCCACTTTAAGATGAGTGGACTTCAACTCCCAGAATCCCCCACCCACCCATGCTGGCGGGGAAATTCTGGGG